CTGATAGTTTTTAGGGTAATATCAGTATATATTAATTAGCTAATTTGCATAATTAATTAATTTTCAGCTTTTGATACATCAAGTAGTAATCATATTTCAATGAGACTTGTTACATAGATCTTCTAGGATTATGCAGAGACCTAATTAATTTTAATTGGATATTAATTACCGAATTTGCATAATATTCCACTGATATATAAAGAACCACAAATTGGATTTTAATGAAACTTTTAAAAAGAACTATGCAGAAACCCAATTAGTTTTTGGTAAATATTTATGCTTATTAATCACCTAATTAACATAATTAATTAACACTGATATCTCAATTACTGATCATCACATTTGAATAAAATTTGGTACATAAATGCTCTAGGACAATAGACAGGCCTGATTAATTTTGGGTTAAAATTTGTTCATATTAATTCTCTAATTAGCATAATAATTCATAATTTTTTTGTTCTGTTCTGTTCATATTACCGGTAGTTACCTGATGTATATAATTAGTTTATAGCTTTTCCATCAATATCTCATGTACAAGTAATTTTGAATTAATTTTTAATGTGTCTTCAATACTCTCAGCACACAGGAGTTCTTTCTAAGCTTTCTTTGATTGTCATTTTTGGTTAATAATTTTTTCAACTGCTTGTCAGATTGCATTAAAATTTGGCATGAATTGCTTGACATGGACTACACTCTGACTTGTTAATTTCATGAGACCATATGCATGTGCCTATTTTTTTTAAGTCATGTTTGTTTTTCTTGGCTCATTTCTCGAAAACCGCCTGCCAGATTGCTTTGAGATCATTAATAGATGCATGAAAATTTTTTGCTGATATTTTTTTTATTTTCCCCACTTTCCTATACGTTATATACGGGCTATGTATAAGGCTTAAAAAAAAATTGTTTTGTTGGCTTCAGCGACAGACTAAAAAATATGAAATATCGGGTCGCATTTTTTTTTTTTAAGGCCCGAGTATTAAAAACTCATCATTTTAAGCACTAAAAATGTTTCCTCAAAAAATTAACGATCCCAGACCGCTGTTTGATCCCCAGGGGGATAAGTGGCGACTTTGAACCTCGGGTTGGTCTGTATTTCTTTGACATGTTCTGAATACTATGAAGTCTGAAGAGCAAACACGTCATTGCATTTCAGGCCATTTTAACATTTGACGGATAGTTGGTGCACAATATTAAAAATATCGTCGCACCAAGTATTTTCTTAGATAAATAAAAACATTATTTTGAATCAAAAACAATACGTTTTTTGTAGTAAATTTGAAATGCACAAAGTTTTATTGAATTTACAAAATGTAACATTTTATATTAAAACTCTCATTCGCTTACATCACAAACAAAACGACAGCTGTTGCACATTGTTTTAGCACTGTCAGTATTCTCACTTCCAGGTTTGCAGTGCCCGGGGCAGCAAGAGAAAAAACTAAGACCAAAACAATGTGCCGATGCAAATAAAAAAATACAAAAGACTGAAAGAAACACTGATTTTTGTGAGAAAGTACACTGTCTCCAAGCCACGTGCAGTCAAACTACTTGGCCACTGAGACACCACTACTACTCAGGTTCATGTTATTCAATTCTGCCTCTCACTTTGCATAAAGTATATACATTACTGGGAAAGAATCCTTATAATATTGACATGGTACTAAGCATAGCACTGCCCACCTCAGAAGCTGCATGTTCTAACTTCATGCTTGTCATCAAAAGAAGCTTGTATGTCAGATGTAAGTAAAATGACAGCAGTCACATTGCTTGGTTTCAGACTATGCAATGCAGGTTAACTTCCTACGTACTCTAAAGGGAGGTAACAGACTTTTGTTTTGAGACATAGTACTGTTTTACAGAAAGCGTACTGGTGTAGCCGACTTCCCAGATTTGTCTGCAGAGCAACACTTACATCAGGGCACTTTGGTCGCTCACCACACTCTTTACAAGTATGCTGGTTCTTAATTGTGCTGAATTGCAAAATTAGCATAGATACTTTAATGAGAACATTAGTTTTGAAACAATCTGGTAAGCTCTACTTGTGGAAGGGTGACCCAGTCTAGCTCAGACCCTATGTTAGGAGTTTTTCTTTTTATATACAAAATCAATGGCTTATGATTGACTCCACTGGGTAGTGATGACAAGTTTAATTCTGTCAGGCCGCCTTTTTTGCCACCCCAAATTTAAAATGATGGCATAAAATAAAAAAATGAGCTCATCACAGTTTGCATAATTGTAAGCGAGTTGTTTTTCCAGAACCTGGAGGCTGATTGACCACATTGACCAAAGACTACAATAGTGTATTCAACAATGGGAAATTCTAATACTAGATGGATTTGTGCATTCAATCTTAGGAAACAATTATGTTGTTGATACCGAAACCCAGCCTAATACAGCAGGCCCTATCTGGGGACCTGCCCTCTTATCAGTTTGCAAAGCTGATGAATCAAGGTATTATCAAGTGCTGCCCATTAATGAAACACTGCAATCTCATTCACATCAGCTCACACAGAGCCCATAGAAATACAGTGGTGTGTACCTTAGTAACATAGAACGTTCTGTGATGTAGCTCCACCCCGAGGATTGGCTTCACATCAATCATTGCATCTATGTTTTTCATATAGGCATTTGTTAATACTTTTTAAAATGACCATACACAAACATCACAAGCTATAATGTGACCATCTAATTCACTACTTCCAGCAGCTGTAGACCTATTCTTCCTCTGTTTACATCCACATTCATTACTTTCACTTTAACTTTATCCCCTGGTCCAAGTGGTGTACCATTCTGCAACACGTAGTGAGGCATCTGACTAGTATGAATTAAACCATTTTGTCCAACGCCGATATCAACAAATGCTCCAAAGTGTGTTGCATTTTCCACTCTACCAGTTAATACATCACCACTCCGTAAATCATTTATAGACATGACTCCTTTCCTGAATAGTGGTTTTGCAAATCCTAATTAAAAGATCAAAAAAGCAGGAAAATTACATAACAACTTTTGTCACCTTTCCCAAAAATTAAATTCACATAATTAATTCATATTTTTTCTAAAATCTAGATCAAAAAGAAGGAAATTCAATAAAGTCCAGAAAAGTAATATGTCGCTGTCTGTAACAATTATGTACAAGACATAAATCAATTTACATACAATTAAAAGCAGTCAAGGATGACCTGTGGATATGTATTCAATCACTTGTAAAATGCCAATGTATATTCTCAAGTAAGACGCAATGTCTCTCCAAAAACATGAAGTTGGGGATACAAGAACTGATATCGTCACTGATTCCATGATCACCATCAATTTGAAAAATTGGACTAAAAATATATATTCACCACTTTGATGTGCCACCACCTCATTTCATGGGCCACCACCTCAACTCACTGTATTGAGAGATGTGCATACACTGTATAGTATAGCACAGATATATGTGTATGGTAGATGATAGAAGATACACTACTTTATTTAGGTATACCCTTACCTGATCTGATATCAAAATCTTTTGGTTGTTTTAAACCATCAATAATTAGAGTTAATGTAGGTATACCAACTTTTAATTCATCTGCAAGGACTTCCATTCCTAGAATCCACCAAAAATATGATTAAATTACTAAGTATATTTGTAAATTTTCTTCTTTTTGTGATAACAACCATTACAAAAATAATGGACATCAATTTTATTATCAGTAATTGCATATATGTTCATATGCATGGCATTCACACTGTATGTACACACACTCCATGGCATTCACATTGTAGGTACACACACTCCATGGCATTCACATTGTATGTACACACACTCCATGGCATTCACATTGTATGTACACACACTCCATGGCATTCACATTGTATGTACACACACTCCATGGCATTCACATTGTATGTACACTCAGTCCATGGCATTCACATTGTATGTACACACACTCCATGGCATTCACATTGTAGGTACACCCACTCCATGGCATTCACATTGTATGTACACACACTCCATGGCATTCACATTGTATGTACACACACTCCATGGCATTCACATTGTATGTACACACACTCCATGGCATTCACATTGTATGTACACTCAGTCCATGGCATTCACATTGTATGTACACACACTCCATGGCATTCACATTGTAGGTACACCCACTCCATGGCATTCACATTGTAGGTACACACACTCCATGGCATTCACATTGTATGTACACTCAGTCCATGGCATTCACATTGTATGTACACACACTCCATGGCATTCACATTGTATGTACACACACTCCATGGCATTCACATTGTAGGTACACACAC